GGCGATGGCGAGTGTGATGTTGATGCTGATGCTGGTGATGCTGATGGTGATGATGCTAATTGCGATGATGATGACAATGATGGTGGTACTGATGATGCTGATGATGCTGATGATGATGATGCTGACGATGATGATAGTGATGACGGTGATGAGTATGACGTCGATGATGGGAACGACGACCTGATGCTGAGGAGGAGGGTGAGGCGGAGGCGTTGATGATGATGATGCTGATGATGTTTATGATGATTGTGCTGCTGATGACGATGATGCTGACGGCGATGGTGATGGTGATGACGGCTGATTATGATTATGTTGTTCTTGATTCTCACGATGATAAAGCAATGTTTGACGACGATGATGGTGATGGGGTTTGGGATGATGATGATGATGATGATGATGATGATGATGATGATGATGATGATGGTAATGCTGGTGATGACGATGACGATGATGATGGTGATGATGAAGATTATGATGATGATGAGGAGGAGGATGCTGCTGATGATGATGATGATGCTGATGCTGATGCTGATGCTGATGCTGATGATGATGATGATGATGATGATGATGATGATGATGATGATGATGATGATGATGATGGTGATGGTGGAAGTGGTTGTGGTGAAGAGGATGAGGAGGAGGAGGAGGAGGAGGAGGAGGAGGGCCGTGGTGCCGGGGCTGTATAGCGCGGCGCGAGGGCGCTCTGCCCACGCGTGTTGTCCTCCAGGCATCAGGGGAGGAGAAGGTACCCATACCCCTACCATTCCCTCGTTTTCCCCTTGATGGGCCTCCTGGGAGGCCCTCGCCGCCACCGCTGAATTCGCCTCGGAATTCTGGAGCTCGGCGGGCGATGGATGTGGACACGTGGTTCAGGATTCTCCCCTCCCCCCTACCCCCCGCGCGATGTGCCCCCCCCTCCCCCCCCCGTGGGCGTGGCGTTGTGGGCGCGGAGTGGTGGGAGGTGCTGCTGCCCTCCCCCGCCCTGAGAGTGTGGGGTGGTGCTGCGGTGCCGTCGTCGTCGTCGTCGTCGTCGTCGTCGTCGTCGTCGTCGTCGTCGTGGTCGTCGTCGTCGTCGTCTTCGCCCCCCTCCCCATCTCATCTGGGAGCGGGGGGGCCTCTTGAAGCCCGGGACCCATACAATCTGGGGGGGGGGCCTGTGCACCCTCGCTCCGGGATCGGATTCGGGCCCTAAGGGCCAAACATATCCACATCCAGGATCAGCCGAGGTCCCCGAATATCGATCCCGCAAGCGGTGGCGCTGGAGGAAGCAGGGCCCTGCAGTCTGGGGATCGGCGATGCTGTTCTCCTCTGTTCTCCTCCCCTCCCCCTTGCTTGGGATCCAGAATCCAAGGGCACCTGACTGAGCCCGAGGTTCGAATGCCCATGCGGAGGGTGTGCTTTTCAGGTCACTGACGCCCAAAAGCCTTGCGCTCCAGGAGCGACACGACAGGAGCGGCTGCTTTCCATCCATGTCGTCCCCATTCTCCTCATCCTCCGTCTCGGTGTCGTCATTGTCGTCTCCTCAGGTCAGTCAGTCACTTCATGCGCGTCGTGCTCAGAGCCGACATGCCGGCATCCCGGGGCGTTGCTAATGGAGGCTTCGCGTCGAGGTGTCTACACACCCACATCGGACTGCACCTCCACTTGGCTGCGACTTCTGATCGCCGCTTCCCAGGTCACCCTATCTTGGGCTTTCAGTAGGCACGCCCCCTCCAACAGGACGGCGCAGGGGCAAGTGCGCCGCGACCGTCATTGCTGCCCTGCTGCATTGTGCCTGCGACGAGGTTGCAACCAGGCTCTGGGCACCCGCCCGAGCAGGGCTTGCCGTGGGCTTGTCCTGCTGCGTCTACTCCCACGCCGTGCGTCGTGCTGTGCTGTCGTGTCTCGTCTCGCCTTGCCTCGTCGACACTTGTCTTCGCTGCACCGGATGCGCCTGCACTTCTGCCGCCGACGGGTCCTTTTATTTGTTGTCTTCCGCTTCCTCCTCCTCCGCAGCAGTCTACGCGCTTCAGTGTTATCTCTTTTCCTCTCTCTCTCTCTCTCTCTCTCTCTCTTTCTGACTCGTCATCATTACCTTGTTCGTCATCCTCCCTATGGTCCTTTTCGTTGTCATTGCCACCCTCGTCGTCCGCGCTGTTGTCGTCGCATTCTTCCCACCTCGTCCTCTCTATCCAACATCCCTTCCACCTCTTCCCTGTTATGTTCCTCATCCCTCCTGCCCCTTCCTCATCCTGTTTGTCGTTCTACTTTCACTCCTGCCTCCCCCTTTCTCCCCACTAGCTCCCGCACCAGCCCATTTTCGGCATGCCTTGCATTCCTCATCCCTGCTTTCCCTGCAATCCCGGCTCAGATCACGATGACACCGGCCATGATCAGGGTCGTACGGGCTTGCAGAAGCCTGCGCACGCTCAACCTGAGCAGGACAGACTGAGGGGGGGCTTCCTCTCATGTCTTCCCCTCTTGTCCTCTTCCTTCCCCACCGTTGCCACTTCAATCAGACTAACATGTTCCAGGAACGACTGGTATATTCGGTCCCCGCGGCTGTCTTCACCAACACCATTCGCGTGCGCACCGTTGGCGGGGGGTGGGGCGTGGTGGTGAACGGCTAGACAGTGGCTGTGGGTGAGGGCGTGGTGGTGGGGTTGGGTGGGGTGAGTGGATGTGGGCGTGGGTGTGGGTGTGGGTGGACTGGGTTGGGCGGTGGGGCCCCTGCCTTCCCCTGCCGCCCTCACGTGCGGACCCCCCATCGGCCATGGCGGCCAGCGACGCGCAGCTCGGCCCCGCCGAGCTCGGCCCCCCGGGAAGGCGGCGGCTCCCGCTGCCTCCGGCAACGACCAGGAGGGCGTGCGCCTCCCGAGTTTGCCTGCCGCGCTCTCTCCTCGCTCGTCGCTCGACGCAGGCGGAGGCCGGATCGAGCGGGCCGCAGCGCAAGCAGAGGGCAGCCGAGGGCCGCAGAGGGAGAGCGGAGGCCGCAGAGCGCCGCGCCGCGGGCAGAGGGGCGAAGCCTCGAGGAGGGAGGGCGGGGGCCGCAAGAGGGCGCAGTGCTTCGCGGCGCCCGAGCCTCGCGTGCTGCCGCAGCCGGCGGCTGCCGCGGCGTCGGAGGTTGCCCTGCCGCACCCTCGCCCTCGTTCTCCGAGCTGTCCCGCTCCTCCCTGCTCTCACCCTTCGGATGTTGCCACAGGGCTTTGCCCATGGCCCAGGGCGCCCGCAGAGATTACTCCGAGGCGGGCTCCACGGCCTCCAGAGCAACCCTCGCGAGGCCCCGAGGGGCCCCAGGGGCTCCGAAATGGAGCGAGAAGCTGGGGGCACTCTGAGCCGGGGGCACCTTGAGCAATCCCCGAACCCTCCGCAGCCTCGTCTCCGTCGACTCGGATCTGACGCTGCATCAAAACCGCAGCATCGGAACTGGAGCCCTATAGACCCCATCTTCCGCAGCGATCTGCGAGGGCACCCGGGGGCCCGACACTGGGCGACGGCGCCCGCTGCGAAGAGATCGCAGCGCCAAGATCCCAGGATCCCCACGCCACCTCCGCAGCCACTTTCGAGCCCTTCGCCCGCCCTGGCGCAGCTCCCATCGGGCGCCGCGCGCACGCTGGCGAGCGCGCCCGCGCCTGCCATAAGCCCGAGGCGGGGGGTGCCCCGCCAGCAGCCTGCAGCCGGAGCCCGCCGAGGCGGCTGGCCCGAGCCAGACCCGGGCCGGGCGAAGGGGGGGGATTGGGGAAGGGGGGGTTACGAAATTTGCTGCAGCAGCTGGTTTCGGCCTCGCCGAGGAGCACGTTCCTCGATACATGAGCCGCCTCCGGCGCCGGGAGGCGCCGGGAAAATCAGCTCCGTGAGCTGATTCTCACCCCCCCCCTTTGCTATCCCCCCATGTCGCCCGACCCGACAGACGGGGGGCCGACCAGACAGGATCCCATCTGGTCGGCCCCCGGAAAGATCGGAGGCCTGGAGGTTCCCAGAGGTCCAACGCTATGAACAGAAGACTGGAGGAAGCCATGATAGGACCCCCCCTGTGCTGTCGTTGGCGCCGAGACGAGAACCAACAGTTCGCGGGGGCGGATTTAGCGGAGCGCTATCTTTAGCACCGCACCGCACCGCAACATTTGAATAAGTATTGCTCCCTCTTCCTCCTCCTCCGTTTCCTCATCCTCTTTTTCCGTGTCCTCCTCCTCCTCCTTGGGGTCCTCCTCCTCCCTGTCCTCCTCCTCCTCCTCGAGCCCCCTCCTCCTCGCCACTTTCAAGGGTTACTGGGAGCTCTAGAGGAGTGCTAAGCAAAGGCCGAGTGCCAGGGTGCCGGGGTGCGTTATCGTTTCGCCAGGAGGGGGAGGGGGTCTTAATGGCTTCCCCCAGCGAAGTGAAGGCGGAGTTTATTCATACATATATATATATATATGTATATATATATATATGTGTACATATACACATGCACATATACATGTACATATTACACATATATATATGTATATGTATATATATATATATATGTTCGGCCTTTGGAGGCCCTCGCCGGGCCCCAGGACAGTCGAAGAACGACCGAGGATGACAATCCCGTCCCCGGGAGCTGGTCGAGACTTCTGAGGAGCCCGCGTTGGAAAAACAAGACATTGGACCTACTGATATCTGCGGTGTGCCACCGAGAGAAGCTGACCCAAATCTCGGCGATGGCGGCAGATCTTGTGCTCTTCAGGTGGACGAGGGCTTACCACCAGCACCGAAACCAAGGATTCAGTCGGGCGTGTCCCCCTACAGGGGGGTTTTCGACGAAAACTAAAACATACCATGAAAACTAGCCGAAAAATATGCCAGAAATAGTCTGGGGACTATTTTTAAAGAATTGTTTATCTTTTTGGTGTATCTTTGTTTTTTTGAGAAAACAACAATTGTCGAAAATCCCCCCGTAGGGGGACAGGCCCGACTTAAACCCAGGATCGTCTCACCCTGGTGGAGGCAGACCCCCTGTGTGTTAGTGTTGGTGCCCATGCCCAGGCCCTCGGCAAGACATGGGGCTGCCCGACCGCGACCGCGACCACGACCGCGACCGCGACCGCGACCGCCGCCGGGAGCCCGAGGGCAAGGCTAGAGGCCTCCTAGATACTCCGAGCAGAGGGGGTCGAAGGATCGCGCCGCATCGTCGATGCATCGCCAGTGCATCAGCGATGCATCGCCGATGCATCGGCGACGTCGGCGGTGCATCGACGACGCCAGCGTGGAGAAAATCGGGAGCTACGTCGAGCCGCGTCGCCGATGCATCGTCGATGCGTCGCGATCCTCCGACCCCATCTGCTCCAACCCCATCTGGGAGGCCTCGAAAGGCGCCCTTCGACCTTGGCCCGTCGCTGGAGGACAGCGATCTGCACAGCAGCGCGCAGAGCGGGGGCGGACAGCCCCCGCCCTCGGCGCCGCCCCCGGCCGACTGGACCGGGCAGCCCGGCTACACGGCGCACCCCAGGTATTCAACTGGCTGGCGCCACTCCGCTGGCCCCCACCCAGCCCTCCTCGCGTTGTAGAAAAATCGCGACGGGAGGGTTTTTCCAAATTTTCGGCTTCCGGGGGGCTCTTACAGGGCCCCGGGACCGTCAACGACGACTCAGGATAAAAGCCCTACGTCGACGTTGGGGGTCTGGGCACAAGGATGAGTGTCTGAGACGATCGTGGAAGTTCTACCTGGGGGCATGCTAGACCCCCTGGGAGGGGAGAGGGGAAGGGGGGCAGCCAGATGTCTCACACGCCTTTTCACCCCTGGCAGGCTGGGGTTGGCGGACTCCTCCGGGTATTACGACGCGCCGCCCAGCGAACACGGTCGTGGCCCGTCTGATGGCTACGACCACGAGCGCGGGCGAAGCCACTCCCGCGGGGGCCGCGGGCGCGACCACAGACGCCATTCCCGCAGCGGCCGGGGGCGCGACCGAAGGAGCCACTCAGGGGGAGGCCGGCGCGACGGCCGCGATCGGCGTGACGACCGCGGCAGGGACGAACGTGACCGCCGGGACGACCGCCGGGACGACCGCCGGGACGACCGCCGTGACGACCGCCGGGACGACCGCAGGGACGACCGCCGGGACGACCGCCGGGACGACTGCGGCAGAGACGACCGTGACCGCCGGGACCAACGCGACGACCGCGCCCGCGGTGGAGACCGCGACCACGGGCGCGACGACCGCGGCCGGGACGACCGCGGGCGCGACGATCGTGGGCGGAGGGACTCCGACCGCAGGAGGCGCGATCCGCAGATCTTCGGCGAGCATGTCCACCTGAAGCACAAGATAAACCGCGGGCGCGCCGCTCCAGGGTGCAACATCTACGTGTACAGGATGCCCCTGGACTGGGACGAGCTAGAGTTCGCGAGGCACTTCGACCACTACGGGGACCTCATCTCATGCAGTATCGTCAGGGACAGGGACTCTGGCGAGTCGCGTGGGTTCGGCTTCATCGGCTATTCCGACAAGGAGGCGGTCAGGAAGGCGATCCTGGGCATGGACGGGCTGCCGGTGGGGCCAGCGCTGGAGCTGCCAGGAAAGTTCCTGTCTGTGAGCCCGAAGAGGGGAGAGGAGCACCTGCTCATCCCGTTCCCGGATTGCTACCCTCCCGCCGGTGTGTACGGTACGGAGCCCCCGAACACGCGGGCGCCGCCGGGGGCCAACCTCTACATCTACAACATCCCAACGGAGTGGAGGGACATCGACCTGTACAGGCATTTCATCCACTACGGGCAGCTCACGAGCGTCAAGGTGAGCGACGGTAGGAAGCCGGGTCACCTGCGCCGACAGTCTCGCGCGAACTTCCCGCGTAAAGCCGCGCGTGAGTGTCCTATTCTCCACGCGGTGTGCACAGCGCTGGCTGCCCGCGTAAGCCACGGTGTAAGATCGCTAATTATGTCTTCTCGCGAATACTGTAATGTTTTGTCGCTCAGGTGATGATGAAGGACGAGAACAAGGAGAGTCGCGGCTTCGGCTTTGTCGGCTACGTCAACCCGATCTCCGCGCAGCGAGCGATGGCCGGTATGACCGGTTTCTGCCTCAACGTGGACGGAACGGGAAAGCGGCTCCAAGTGACATCCAAGAGGGGCGAAGAGACGGCTGCGCGGAAGTGCAAGCAGGAGATTGCATTCAAGGACCCAGCGCACCCAGACTACCAGAAGGAGCCGCCCGAGGAGATAGAGGCCGGAGCAGCTATGGCAGAGAGTTTGGGAGTCAAGGCGCACTGATTGCTGCGACCATACGTATCGGTGCAGGCAGTGTGCTGTATTTTACAGACGTTAAATATTCGTATTGGCAATATGCCGAGCTCCACCGAGACAGGTGCACGTATTGTTCTGGTGGAGGCTTAGCGGCGGGCGAGAAAGACCATGCGCAAAGACCAGAATAATCAAGACAGCGAAGAAAAAGTGCGATATCGAAGACACCTCTGTCGAATCACCGCCGACCCTTGCCTTTCGAAAGAGAGAGATAACGTATCGACCAAAGGTGCGGCCATGCTGGCGCGTGAGGAAGCCAGTGATACGGGCGCTGAGCAGGGGTTCTCTGCGCTCATCTTGTGGCTCTCTTCGAGCTCTTCTGGGGCCATTGGGGTCCTCTTGGGGGCCTCCTGTTGGGCCTCTCTTGCGCCACCTTGGGGCTCTCTTGTGCCATCTTGGGATGCCCTCGCGCCGTCTGGCCCCGTCAGATACGGCCTGGGGGTCCCACCTGGACCGGCTCAGGGACCTCTTGTTCAGGAGGAAAAGAAACACACAGACACAATTAATCCTCTATTCCCGAGAAAATATGGGAAAATATGGGAGTGGGGGGGAAGACAAAAACCCAGAAAATATGTGAAAATATGGGGAATATTTTTATTTGTGTGTCCTGGGGCCCCTTCACTTGTGGGGCCCTTCTGGGCCGTCTGAGGGCTCTCTTGGGCTGGGCTGCCTTGGGGCCCTCTCGGGCCATCTTCGGGTCGTCTCGGGGCCGTACGGGGGCCATCTCGGGCGGGGTCGTCTTGGTGCCCTCTTCGGGGCTGCGGGGGTCGTCTTGCGGCCATCTTGTGGGCATCTTCGTTCCGGATCCTTGACATGACGCGAACGAGAAAACACAAGTGCAACACTTATCTTGGTGTCACCTGGAGGTTCTCTTGGAGCCTCTTGGGACGACTTGGGGGCATCTCAGGCAGTTTGGAGGCCTTCTTAGGCCATCTTGGGGTTGTATCGGGGCCGTCTTGGGGTTGCCTCGGAGCCGTCTCGGGGGCCTCTTGGGCCGTCTTGGGCTTCCAGAAGCCTGAAGAAGTGAGAACGCGTTAATGAGATTGCCTTTCTGGGGCCTCGTGGAGGTTTTCGTGGAGCCTTCTCGGGGTGTCTTGGGGGCCTCTCGGGTAGTCTTGATTCCGTCTCTGGCCGTCTTGTGGCCTCTTGATGCCGTCTCTGGTCGTCTTGGGGCCGTCTTATCTTGGCCTTCTTGGAGGCGTCTGGGGACCGTCTCGGAGGCCATCTTGGCCACCCTGGACGGAAAAGCCCGCGGGGCGCTGGATTTTCTGGTGGCCGGCGCGTTGGGCTTCCATTTTCTGGTGGCCGGCGTTGGGAACCTTTCTGGAACTCAGGCCCCCGGAGACCAGGACACAGATAAACCAGGACACGGAGAACCAAGGAAACGACACCCTTTTCTGCAAAGTCACATTTTTCAGAACCCGTGCATTGTTTGTTAGCTGCATTGCAGGATTCGGGTTTGTGTCCGGGTTTAGGGGTGTCTTGCAGGCTTTTGGGGCCTGTGTCCGGGTTTATTCTGGAAGTGTTGCAGTGCAGTATTTTGTTCGTGCCGCCGTTTTGAAAAATTGGTTTCGAGGGATGTTGGGTGTCCGGGTCTCTGAGGAACGGCCATCGAGAATTGGAACATTTGGCACTCCAGGTCTTCCTCCAGCAGGCTACGTAGGCGGTTAGAGTGGCCCTCGGCCCGGCCCGCCGTCGTGCTCGGATCGGTCTCTTGGGAGGGATCTCGGGAGCGCCTTGAAGCTTCTTGGGGTCCTCTTGGATGAGGAGGGAAAAAACACACAGACACAATTAATTTGCGATTCCCAGAAAATATGGGAAAATATGGGAAGTGAGGGGGAAGACAAAAACCCAGAAAATATAGGAAAATATGGGGAATCTTTTTATTTGTGTGTATTTATTTGTGTGTCCCAGTTTCCCTTCATTGGGGGCCTCTTAGAAGTCTTTTCGAGCCTCGTGGGGGGTTGTTGGTGCCCTCTGAGTGGTCTCGGGGGCCATCGTGGGCTGGGACCCTCATTGAGCCGTCTGAGGGGCCCGAGGGGCCTCTTGAGGGCCTCGGGGGCCGTCTTGGCGAGATATTGGGGGCCTCTTGGGCCGTCTTGGGCGCTCTCTGGACCGAAAAACGAATCTTCCAATGATGCAACCGTACAGCTCGGACGCAAACGTTGGGCGCTCGTCGGACGCAAGCGTACGACTTGTCGGTGATGCTTGCTTCTTGGGCCAGCCCCCAGGGCTGCCAAGCCAGCCCAAGATGCGCTCGCCAGGACGGGCCCCGAGACCGTGTTCGGCCATGGTGGAGCTGTGGGATTCCAGCCACGCTTCCCAGGCCTCGAATCACGCGAGCCGCTGGCGCACCAGGAGCGCCCAGGAGTGCCCGCGAATCCTGGCCCCTGCTTTATCCAGAGAGCGCTAGCGCATTCGATGCGCAGAACCTGAAGGGACCTGCGGCATTCCACTCGGTGCTGACTGCGCGATGGCAGAGTCAGCCCGACGTCGCCCATGCCTCGAGAAGCCGAGGGACACGCGTCGATCAGAACTAAGTCGGGCGTGTCCCCCTACAGGAGGAATCTCAGAGAATAGTGAAAACATTGTCTGGGGACGATTGTTCGTGCCTCTGTTTTGGCTATATGCGTTCATGGTTTGACGTTTTAATTGTTCGTCCAAAAGCCGCCTGTAGGGGGACATGCCCGACTTAATATTAAAAAAGACGTTCGCTTTGGGGGTTTTGGGCGGCGCTTCAGCCTCTGGCGCAGGCTTCAGCCGCTCGCGCGGCGCCGACGGCGACGGCAGCGATGCGATTGCAGGGGCAGTTGCGGCCGAGCTGCAGCTGAATCAGCTGGCCCTTTCTGCAGCCCTCAAGGCCTAGATCGCGCCAGTTTAGACCTGGAGGGGTTCCACCAGAAACCAGAAACTCACCCAGGATCTTGCGAAAATCTTCCCCGAAATGGCAGGGGAAGAAAGGACGGACGGAAGGAAGGGACAAGGGGGAGGGAGGAGGATGGAGCACGAGAGAGAGTAGCAGGAGGGGGGCCAGGAGTAGAAAACGCGTGGCATGACCAAACGGGCAGATCGGGCGGGTAGACCCTAACGGGCGGGTCGGGAAGGCGGGCCCAGGCGGCCAGGTCGAGCAAGCGGGTTGCTGAAGCTTGCGTCCTGCACTCGTTCTTGGCCGAGCCGCCCTCGCGACAGAAGTTGTTGCTCCCCCGCGCACGTGCTTCCCAGAAATCCGTGGCCCTGTACGGTCGTTCCGTCGTCAGTCGTCCTCGGCGCCCTCTGAGACCTAGCATCCCATGCCATTGCCCCCGCCCCCGCCCCCCGGACCGCATTTTTGCGTCCCCATAGCTTAAGCCCCTTCCCCAGCCCTCTCCCGCGGAGCCTGTATCCTGAGACCGTGGAACATTCAGTTGTTGCAAAAGATGTGCGACCATCGCGTTGAAGTTTATATCGTGCTACTTTGTCGTCTTCGTCGTCGTCGTTTCTCTCTCTGCATATATATATATATATATGTAGATATTTCCTTCCCCTTCCCCATATATTATTCTCCCTCTTCTCATCTCCTGGTATGCTGCTGCAGCTTCCAGTGTATCAGATGTACTTGGACGGCCTTGCAAACGGATTCCTGCTGTTGCGACCTTGCGAGGCGGATTCCCCCCGCGGCAGCTTTACAAAAGGGGTTCGTCGTGTACCAGTATTACAAGGGAATCATAGTTGCAAGGGTTAAGAAAGGAGCCCACATCATAGATGTAATTGACAGATTCCTTCAGGATAGCGCCTTGTCAGCATAACTTACCACAGAACAACAGGAAACATATATGCAACATGAAAGGTACATCACCTGCATCCCCACATCCGGAAGCACGAACACACAAAAACATTTGGTTGTCGTTGCCTCGGGTTGTAGTATGTTTCGGGATTGCCATTGCTTTCGGTTTCTCTTCATTAGCTCCGTTCCAAGAAGCCCCCGACGAGTCTTGCAACTTGTGGGCTTCCTACAACCCTGTGGTGTTTGGTCTTCGTCTTGACTAGACAGTCCCCGCGTCTTCTCCACCTCCTCCTCCTCCTCCTCTCCTCCTCCTCCTCCTCCTCCTCCTCCTCCTCCTCCTCCTCCTCCTCCTCCTCTCCTCTTCCTCTCATCTCCTCCTCCTCCTCCTCGCATCCTCCCTTCCCCTCATCCCCCCTCCCGTCACCCAACTCACTTTGGCACATTCCTCACACGCTTCGTGGTCCCATAGGAAGCTCCACCTATGGCCCCAGTGGCATGGTTCGCATGTCGTCACCTTCCCTTCCATTTTGGCACACCATCATACGTTTCGTGGCCCCATTGGGGGCTCCACCGAAGGGCCCAGTGGCATGGTTCGCATGCCGCCCCCCCCTCCACTTTGGCACGCCCCTCACACGTTTCGTGGCCCCATAGGTAGCTTCTACCGAAGGCCCCAGTGGCATGGTTCGCATGCCGCCCCTCCCATCCACTTTGGCACACCCCTAATTCGTTTCGTGGCTCCACAGGGAGCTCCACCGATGACCCCAGTGGCATGGGTCGCATGCCGCCACCCCTGCATTTTGGCACACCCCTCACGCGTTTCGAGGTCCCATATGGGAGCTCCACCGAAGACCGCAGCGGCTGGTTCGCATGCCGCCCCCCCTCCCCCCCTTTCAAAAAGGGGGGGGGGGGTCCCCGACGGACGACGGACCGGGAAAGGGGGGCAGGGGGCGGGGGCGGTCCCCGACGACGGACCGGGAAAGGGGGAGAGGGGGGGGGTCCCCGACGACGGATCGGGGAAAGGGGGGGGGGGGGCACATTCTTCTTAAGCTTCGCGGCCTCAGTGGGAGCTCCACCGAAGGCCCCGGCGGCAGCGCCCGCAGGGCGGCTCCGCCCCCTTGCGGCGCACCCTTCGCGCCTCTCGTGCCCACGGTCAGTGAGGGACAAAAAACACACAGACACAATGAATCGTCGATTTCCCCCAAAAATG